CACGTGGAGGTGGCGGGGCAGGGCTGCGCTCTCTACTCCCCACCTTCCGTCTTTGGCGTGTCCCTTGCTGGGTCCTGCCCTTTGCCACATCTTGCTCCGCTCAGCGCGCCCCTCCACAGATCACCCCATCTGGCGCACGCTGGAGCCAGGATGGGGATTCCGCTTGAAAACCGCTTCCATCTGCGGGTACCTCCTTCGCTAGCCCTGAGTCTGTATATCCCGGTTGACTTGTGCTTATTCAGACCTTGCCTCTCTCTGAGCAAGCAGCCTCTCCATTCAGCTCCGTGAGACTCCCAGTTTAAAGCACGTGTGCTCTGGCCTCCTCGGGCCCCCTTGCCCTGCCGCCATCCCTGGTGGCTCCAAGATTCAGCACCTCCCGACAAGTCCGCAGCACTAGGGCACACTGTTGTTCCTGAGATGTGTGTGTCTCCTGGAAGAAAGAGGAGATTAAGGGATAACGAGGACCCCTCTCCCCCCACACACCCTTAACCCACACTAGCTGGCTCCCGGGCATGTTGGCTCCAGAAGCCCCTGACCCCTGCCGTTCCCAGTTCTCTCTGTGCGCCAGCCTGATAACTGTCCTCCCGACCTCGGTTACCTCTGGGGTCTCACCAACAAAGCCCCACCCCCAGTCTCCCACCACCGCTTGGCTCTCTCCCAGCAGAACCAGTGACACTGTCCTGCAAATCAAATCGGGATGAGGTTGGTGACAATAAGGGCAGAGAAGTAGGGCCTGGGCAGGACGAGGGTGCCAGCTGGGCCTGGACCTGCAGGTGCTTTGAAAAGAGATCTATTACTTGGCCACCCCTCTCAGTCCTAGACAACAGATTTTTTTTAAAAACACAGCAAGAGTTGTGTAGCAGGGCAACCAGTGAAAGACTCACGTACTCCCATGACGTTGCTTTTGATGCCTGTTTGAGGGGAATGCGGAATCTCAGGGCCCCTGAGGCGACAGCATTGTCTGTGGCAGCCATGGGTACTGGGCAGTCCTTTTCTGCAGGGCCAAGGGCCAGCCTTCCCTGGAGGAAAGTGGAAGGTCATCTGCTCCTTCCAAGTCGCCATGTCAAGGAGAACGCTGCCACGGCTCTCCACCCACCTGGCCTCGAGAGAATATCCTGGAAGACAACTTGGTTGGATGTTCCAATCTAGATATCTACTGCCTGGCCCCTAAATTCTTAGTAATCCTTTCCCTTGATTGTGCTTTAGAAAAATAATTTTTAAAAACCTTTTTTATTTTTTGAGACAGAGTCTTGCTGTGTCACCCTGGCTAGAGTGCAGTGGTGTCATCTTAGCTCACTGCAACCTCGAACTCCTGAGCTCCAGCAATCCTCCTGCCTCAGCCTCCCAAGTAGCTGGGACTACAGGCATGCACCACTGCACCAGGCTAATTTTTCTATTTTTAGCAGAGATGGGGTCTCGCTCTTGCTCAGGCTGGTCTTGAACTCCTGAGCTCAAACGATCCGCCCGCCTCGGCCTCCCAGAGTGCTAAGATTCAGGCATGAGCCACCACGCCCGGCCTAAAAACCTTTTTTATATGGTGGAGAGCTGCTTTCCCACTACCTTTCAGTTCTCCAGAGAGACAGTGCGATGTGACAATTGGCAAACACATGCTGCTGACTCCTGCACCGTCCTCCTTCTGGGAACCCTTCACCTGGGAGGATCCACTCTCTGCTGGACTCTGTCACTCCCCGGGTTTCATCCCTCAGCATCCTAAACGTGGTCTAGAGAGTACCCCAGTGAAAAGGAATGCTTAGTGAGTCCACTCCAGAAACAAAGACGTCAGCCATTGAGGCGATAGCTCTAATTTGACCTCAGCTTAACTCAGAAAGTTTCCCAGAGATCTCTCACCGTCTGCCCAGTGCCACTCCGGTCGTCGCTGCCAGTTCTGCCAAGCCAAGGTGCTCTGCATAGGCATATTGAAGTAAGGTGACTGGCTTTTCCTTTGCATTTGCCCTTAGCCCGTTATCTGGAACCACTAACCAGGACTCTTTCTGCAAATGCCCCGCCTCCGCCTCAGAGACGGAATAATAACCTCATTTCATGTATATCAATTGCATGAACAAATTAATTGCCCCAATATCATGAAATACTTGAAAATTACCAGATCATCCGAAAACAAAGATGAAGGAACTGGCTGCTCAAAAATCTACTCCGAGTGGAGACTGTGCAGCCTAAAAGTCAGCCAGAGCCTTCAGGGTAGGTAAGTGGCTCTGTTGGCTCCTGCAGAAGGAGAATTCAGGGTCTCCAAGGCTGGCGAGGGAAGTCTTCAGGGAACCCTATGACCCCTTTCTCCCCCAGGAAGACCACAGATGGGGAAACTGTGAACTAACTCAAGGGAACTGGGGTCAAATCTGGGAAAAGGTCAGAGATCAAGCCCCCAGGTATTCCAGGCTACTCTTACTTCCAAGAGTTACTTCCAAGTAACTCTGAATTTAGATCCAAAAGTAGGTAGGTCGATGCTAGGTGGTCTCTCAAGGTAGGTATTTAACGAGAGTAACAAACAACATAGACGTGTCTCTGGGCTAAAGGTGCTGAGCCTGGGACACGCAGATGCCCCGCTCACAGGGGTTTGCTTGCAGCTGGGAGGGCACGAAGACTCAGACGGCTCTGTGGGGCCACCTGGGGCCCGTCCAGTGCATCAGTGGACCACGGCTGCTCTGAGGGCAGGCGTGTCTCAGGCTCCTTCCGCTGTCCCCAGAGAGAGACCGCTCGGGGATGGCTTTATGGTGTTATTGCGGACGGTTATTCATTTTCGAGACCAGGGATCGGGTAAGCTCAGCTCCTGGCGTGAGAACAGGCTCCCCGCGTCAGAGGCAGCGCGGCCGCGGCGAGTCCTCAGCTCTCGCTGGGCAGCACGGCTTGAGGCTCAGGAAAAAGCTGATCTGAGTCTCTAGACTTTTCTAAAGTGAGGGTCTGTGAGAACTGTCATTGCCTGGGCCAGAGAGCCCCCACCACGCTCGCTCCCCACTGCCCTCACAGCTGCCCCCGACGGAGACGTGCCATAAGGAGTATTCGACTAATACACACTGTTAAAGCCATAAAACATTATCCAGATCATTAGAACAGACCTAATGCTAGATCTTGAAGTAAAATATCATTTAAAGAGATGAGATCTTAAATGGGAGCTATAAAAGGATAAAAAGCAACAAAAGACAGTTAAGATAAATGTTTCAAAATCCTGAATGTTTAAGTGAAATGAAAGAAATAGTTCAATTTTTTAAATGGCTAGAGGTCGGTTCAGTCAGGCCAGGTAAGCCCAGGTCGGTTCTCAGAAATGTCTCCCTTTGGGTCCTATTCAAGATGGGATTGACCCAGAAGACCTTCAGACGTTTGCCCAGAGTTCTTAGAAGTCATGGGCAGCTGTGACGGTTTTTGGGGTGGACCCAAGAGGACAGCAATGGCCAAGCGTCCTGGGAACCCTGCCCAGTGCCCTGGCATTCTCCACGGTGTAGACGGCCTCCCTCTGCCCTCCCATGCCCCGCTGACACCGAGAAACACAGAACTCCTTATCCATTGACACAGGAGCCCAAGCACTGGACCAGCCTGGGGGGTGGGGACAGGAAGATGCCAAGGATATGCTGGGCAACTGTCACATGCCAGCAGAAAAGAGGTTTTGGTGCTTTGACAAGAAATTTCCCATGTGTGCATGTGCGTGTGTGTGTGTGTGTGTGTGTGTGTGTGTGTCTGTCTGTGTCTGTGTCTATGTTCATTTCTGTGTTCGATCTTGCCCCAATAGCCAAATCCTAGCAACCCCACACCCTCCAGGCATGTGGATTGACCTGGCAACCTGGTAAGCCTCATGAAGCAGAAACTGAGACTTAGAGATCTAGATCTAGAATGTTCTGTGAATGGCTAGAGAAGTGTCCCTTTTTTCCTCTTCCCTCACCTTAACCCACATCTCCACCATTCCCCGAAGGACATCCTACCAACTTGCCATGGGAAAAAAGAAAAGAATTTGCTGAGAAATCTTTTGCCAGAGAAGTATTTCAGGCTGCAGGCAAATGTCTAGTTGTGCACATTTCCATCCTTCAAAAAGTCCGTTACATGTTTTTCTTGTTTGTACCTTAAAAACAGAAACCATAAGAGCAACATCTGAAAATGGAGGGTAAAAGCCAAGTCACGAGTTTGCAGGAAGAGTTAACAACTGAGACAGTCCAGATCAGTCCGCGGCTGAGCCCAAGGAGCAGGGGCACCTTCCCGGACACAGGCTCAGGGCCCCGGGGGAGAGTGGGCCTGGGACGCTCACCTGCGGCCCATTTCTTGGCTCTTACACCAAAATGAGTTCAGCAGTCAGCCCCGTGAGAACAGCTCCCTGGGGTGCTAATAACATTCTAAACTGTGTGCAGAGCTTTCAGGCCTCAGAAACAATCCAGGACTCATTATTCCATGCCCGTGGCCACGGCTCCCCCACACCACAGACTAGCTGAGCTAGACCACCTCCTACCTGCACCTCCGCTGTGACAACCAGCCCCGTGCGGAGGGGTCGAGGCCACCTCCTGAGGTCCTCGGTCTTCCCCTAACCCTGAGAGGCCGTTGCCCTTGGGCTGCTTTGCTTGAGTATGTGCGGGCAAGGACAGGCCTGGGCCAGCAAGGCCTCTGTCCTTCAGCTGGCCCTTCCTGGGGACGCTAAAGGGCATGAAGTGCAGGCCCTCAGGGTTATCTTAGGCTAATTTAAAAAAACAAAACCAAAGCTTCCATCTACAAAATCTTGAGCACCTCCTCTGCTCATCTGCAGTAGGTGCGAGCTACTGAATTTGTGCCCAGGACGGCACAGGCAGGAAAATGTCTGTGGCTTCTTGTTGGATGTGGGACCCAGTGACACGGAGCCCACACTCCCAGGACGCCCCAGCACCTGCCAGGCCCAAGCTTCTGTGTTCCTTTCACTCGTTTGCTTTTGCCCTCTCCTGCCGCCGTGTTGCTCCCGTGTTAGCCGAGACTAGAATAGCAGGCATCTTGGCGGGGACTCACTACAGCTTACCTCTATCTGCCTTTCTTTAAAGCCAGCTGAACATACCCAATGCTCTCCCTCTATGGTAAGACCGAACCCCCAACCACACTCCCAGCTTCTGCGACCCCCTCGAGCACCCCACTCTCCCGGCCCCAACCTCCAGAGTGTCCCGGAGCCCGCCTGGCTCTCGTTGCATGCGGCCGCCGTGTCTGTCGTGTGCCTTGCCTGCCGTCCCGGTCTCGTGTGCAGGCACTGTGTGTGCAGTGGTGTTCTTGCACCTCCCCGGGCTTCCCTTCGGGTGGTGATTCACCGCGACCTTGACTACCCGACAAACCACTGGGAGAGAATCGGACCCTAGGGCCCTTTCCTGTTAGACACCCCAAGGACTCCACTGGCTAAAGCCTCTATCCTTAATCTGATGTGGGAAATCTGCAGAGGGCTATGACGACCGTGGTAGGGGCCTCCAGGGAAAGGAGGGAAGAGAGAAGTGATCGAGCCAGGAGACAGGAGGGCAGACGACGGCTTCCTACTAACCGGTGTCCGTAGCCGCCAGCCTCCCCGTTCTCGGAGCGTAAGGCCACCTAAAAGGCTTAAGCTGGGCTTTGGTACGGAGAGCGTGGTTGAATTTCCAGGCACTCCAACCATGTTGCCCCTTGCATTTTTCTAAATTCCTGAAGTTCCTTAAAATTAGACAATAGCCGCTTTTCTGAAGCAGGCTGGAAGCAGAAAAACAAGTTCGGTTGATTGGGCCGCTCCTGGTGTAGGAGCCTATGATTCGCTTTGGCTCAACGGATGCCACTCAGTGTGACCTTGAAGTCTCCTTGGAACAGCCTCCTCCAAAAGGCTGTGGTCACACATTTCAAACTGCGTTAAGTGCGAGTCTTTAAAAGGACCAGTGGGTTGATTCCCTGCATCCCAGAATTCAGCAGGGTGGAGGCGAGATTGGACGGGTTGGTGGTATTCCCCGAGGCAGCCCGCCCCACCCTGGCCTAAAGGCTGCCGCGGGGGTGCTCTGCCCTGCGTCACAGCCCAGCCGCAGCCCTTTGGATCTGCTGCTGCTCTGCATTGTCATTGTGTTTATTAGAGGAAATTAGTGTCCAAATGGCAACGTGTTTATTCCCCTTCGCGAGCAGCATTAGGAAACCAGCATCTGCGGAGGGTTCTGAACAGCAAAGTGAAGTTCAGACTGCACGCTTGGATTTGGGTGTGCACGGGGTTTTTTTGTTTGTTTTGTTTTGTTTTTTAACTCAGCGGATCCAGGGGCCCCTGTGGCACTAGCTTCTCAAATTCTTGACACTCACAGCTGAAGTTCCCCACTTAAGCTTGTTCTTTCTCCTCTTTTCTCCTTGCCGGAACATGGCGGAACTGACAGCTGAGTTAGAAAACCCCAAGCCACCCCTGCATCTGCGTCTGGGGGAAGACGGCCTCCTTTTAAGGAATGAAAATAGTCTCCAGCAGAAATGGGATAGAAATGCAGAGGTTAAGGGCCTCAGGGACTCCAGGCAGGGCCAGGAGGCAGGGCAGGGCTGCTCAAGACCCAGCCCCAGGCACCCAGGAGCAGGCCCCGACACCACCAGTCTGCCCCCTGCCTTGGGAGCCCTCAGAGGAACCAAGGCTCGGTTTCCGTGCAGGGCAGGCACGCTGATGTGGAAACGCTGCCTCTGCACTTCCCTGCGTCCCTCAGGCTCCCACCCTGCACATGGGGGGATGATGCCCGCTGAAGCCACAGCCGGCCCTTTCCTGTTAGACCCCCCAAGGACTCCACTGGCTAAAGCCTCTATCCTTAATGTGATGTGGGAAATTTGCAGAGGGCTATGACGACCGTGGCAGGCCATCGCGTTAGAGTGGAAGGGCCTGTGGGAGCCCCTGGGGCTTTAGTGCTAGTGGGGTTTCCAGGGGGCGTAAACGAGGCATGGATGTTTCCAGGGAGGGTCTGACCTGGAAATAACGAAAAATAAGGCAAGAGGAGAATTGACGCGAGGAGCAGGGAGGGCCCCGATGGCCCCAGTGGATGGAACAGTAACAGGAAGCTGCAAGGGTCCGTTCTCTCCTGGTGCCGGCAGGGCTGGGTAAGCTGCACTAGCCCGGGGGTGGTGGCTGGTGGGTTAGCCCCTGCCAGGCAGGCGTGGGCAGGAGAGGGGTCAAGGGGGCAGTGGGTCATGTTGTTCTCAGGCCTGGAGGCAGAGGGTGACAGGGCAGCCTGTCCCGCCCCCGAGCCCTGGCCAGGCACGCGTCCAAGCGCCCAGGCTCCGCCACGGCAGCCGTGGCAGCCTGAGCATCACAGTCCACTCAGCTGGCACCGGCCTCCGTTCCACCCCCACGGGGCTCACTGAGGGAGACGGCCTGCCCTGAGCAGGACCCCTGGGTGCTCAGGTATCAGGGCCCGGACTTGTCTAGGACGGCCTCTCTTCCCTTCACCTGTCCCCTTCCCCCACCCCTTCCAGGGTCTTGTGCAGCCTGGAGCGGGCTGGAGCCTCCTGGAGGCCCCAGGGCGGGGGGAGGAGGAACGACAGTGCCAGAGCAAGGGCTGCAGACCCTCCCCGGCACCGAGCGCACCCTCCCCGGCCCTCCTTGGAGTCCCTTCCGGACAGGGGCTGTGGGAAGTAGAAGGAGGTGACTCAAGACATGCTGGAGTCCCGAGCAGCCAGGGCGTGAGACCCCTCCGTGGGCAGCCCGCCCCGCCCACTGGGACCCCCCGTGCGAGCACACCTGGGGCCAGGAGAGAGGCCACCCCCAGCCAGCCTCTTTGCAGAGAGCCAGGTCCCACTCAGGACGCAGGACCCTCAGCCACACCAGACAGGAGGGAGGTGGGGGCTGCTTCCGCCACACCATGGCAGAGGCAAGGGCTCCAAGGGCAGCTGTCTCTGGGCCTAGAAGATTCCAAATCATATATGGTCGTTCCTCATGGAATCTTCTGTTGCCCATCCAGGGCACTAAGAATTAGGAATGAAGGGGAGGAGGGGGGACTGGAAAAACCGGGCCTCGGGCAGCTCAGGGGCCTGGGCACAGCTTGGCTCAGCGGAGACCACCAGGCTGGGTGTGGACGGCTGCCCTCCTCGTGGGCAGGGACGGATCTAGTGCAGCGAGCCCCTCCCTGCCTCCCGCGCTGAGGGCTGTTTCTCTGAGCAGGCCCACCCCTCCCGCCCCACCCCTCTCTGGCGGTGCTAACTGCACCTCCTGTTGCCGATGGGTTCCAGAACGCAGAGGAAAACTCCCGCATCTCCATCACCTTCTTCCGCCTCTTCCGGGTCATGCGCCTGGTGAAGCTGCTGAGCCGCGGGGAGGGCATCCGGACCCTGCTGTGGACCTTCATCAAGTCCTTCCAGGTAGCCTGAGGGGAGGGACCCCCACAGCTCCCCGGCTGCCCCCTGGGCCCCCGGGACAGAGCGGCGGGGAGGAGGGCGCCCCACCTGGGCGCAGCGCGGGCTGCTCCTTCCTCTGCTGCGCACGGCCCTCCCTCGGGGCTGGGTGAGAGGGTCCCACGGAACACTGCGCAGGTCCTGGAAGCCCCGATTTCCCCAGGGTTGGGTGGGACAGTTAGGGCGGGAGGGAGGGGCCGCTGAACGGGTCTGTCTGCTCTCGTTTTCGTATTTTTCTGCAAGAATGTACTGGACAATCTGGTAACCACTGTGGTCCCCTCCAATTTCCCCCCCACGGGCATTTCAGCAGCTGCTGACCGCACCTGTTTATGTCCTTAGCCCAACTCCGGGCTCCTGGTGTCCCTCCACTCCAGGAGAGCGGTCCCCTCCTGTGGGCACAGCGCTGCTGCGCCACGTGATTAATTCCCTTTTCTCGGCCATCGCTTCCACCTGTAAAAACCGAACAGTGCTCGCCCCCGGCCAGCTCTGAGGAATGTTATGTAAGTTTGAAGTTAAAGAGAAGCAAAGCTGCCAGTCCCTTGAATTCCTAGGAGATGAGTGTAGAAACGCCTAGATCCGGTGTCTCGCTTCCCGGGCCGGGTGCCCCTGGAGGTGCCACTCCCAGACCTCCCAAAACCAGCAGGGACGAGTGGCCTTTCGTGTTCCCTGCCCTGGCCAGCTGGCCTCAGGCCGGGGCGTGCGGCCGGGCTCCGCTGCAGGTGTGCCCCAGGGGAATGGTGCTCTGCCCTGCGCACCTGCCCTGCTTGGAGTCCCGTCCCGCAGGCACAGCCCTCCAGGCAGCCTCCTGCCCGGGACTCCACCCGGCCAGCAGCCGGGGGGCGAGGCCTGGCTGCTCCTAACGGCCAGCCCTCCCCAGAGGGGGCGCAGGCTGACTCCCCTGCCCGCGCCCTGCTCAGCCGGGGGCTCTGGAGAGTCGGAATCACAGGCACTAACGGGAGCGGCCATGCAGGCCCCGCCGCACGCGCCCTGCCCCCGTTTCCCGGCCGGGGCGGCTGCGAGGCCGCGCGGGGCGGGAGTTCCGGGTGGTCCCGCAGCGCCATCTGGCGGCGGCGGCTGGCACCGCCTCCCCTCCCCGCGGCCGCGGCGGAAGTGGCCCAACCTGGGAAATTAAGTCGTCTGAGCTGCCTGGCAGATGATACGTGGAGTGAATAAAATGTATGGAACCCACCTCTGCAAGGTGTTGCCCTTAAATCTTAAACTCTTGTGGAGTTTAAATGATTTAAGTGAAGTTTAAATGATTCTCCCCTGAGGATAAACTATTATTCTCATTTTTCAGATGAGGAAACTGAGGCAGCTCAGTGACATTAAGTAATATGCTTCTGTAGCTAAAAAGTGGAATAACTAGAATTTGAGCCCATGATCTTTCTTTTAAATGTTCCCTTGTTAAATGTTTTAATTACAATAGCAACCCCTGCTCACTACAACTAGTGGAGCAAGACTAAGGCCTGTAAAGAAAAGGTGTCGCCTGCCTCCCCCGGGCCCCCTGTCAGCTTGGTGGCATCTTCCATGGCTTTCTCCTTGCGTGTCCAGACCCCCGCGTGGCAGGTTCTCTCCTGTGCGCTTGTTTTGCTGAGTATCACAGCATGCCCGTGACTCTGCAGCCCGCGTTCGAAACCGAGCCAGAATGAGAAGCCAGCGCCCACCTCTCAGGCCCTCTCCCAGGTGCCCAGTACTTCTGTGGGGCTCGTGGAAGTGCCCCCGCCCACAGCCGAGCAGCCACCGATGGCTGCAGAGCTGGGGACACGGCAGCCTCACGGCAGCCCCGCACACTTCCTTCCAGGCCCTGCCCTACGTGGCGCTGCTGATCGTGATGCTGTTCTTCATCTACGCCGTGATCGGGATGCAGGTAGGAGGGGCTCTCCCCGCACCGGTTCCGGTTTCCACACTGCGTTCCCGCCACCCTCCTCCCTGGCTTCTTCCTCTTGTTCCTGACTGTCCCTCTCCCTCCTCTTCCATCTTCCGAGGCCCAAAGGGTCGCGGGAATTAGACCGTACCCCAAAGGGACATCCCCTAGCTAGCAGAGGGGTGGCCAAGCCCAGCCCAGAGGCCTTCCCTCCCCAGGCCCCAGACCGGGGCTCTCCTCTTGGTGGAGGAAAGACGCAGGAGGATTATGCAGCAGCCCTCAGGACAGACAGTGGCAGTGGCAACAAGGTGTGTCTGACCAGCGTCCCCTCTTTGTCCAGGCCTCAGTGGCCTGAGAACAGCCCCCAGCCAGTGTCATTCAGAAGAAGCTAGGGACTGAGAGGGGGCTGTGGGGAGGAAGAAGGAAGGAGAGAAGGAAGGAAGGAAGAAAGGAAGTAACGAACAAATGCAGACTGTGCCCCATCAAGCGGGCAGCAGGTTCCCGGGCCCCCCTAGTGCCCACCGCGCCTTCTCCCCACACCCGCAGCCCTCCAGCCTCTCCTCCGGCCCTGGCTGGGGTCCCAAGGTCAGCCTTGGCAGACACACTCGCCTGGAGCTCTTCCTCAGCAGCTCCTTGAGTAATGTCCCCTGCCTGCTCATTGAGGAGAGACCCAAAGGTTCATAAGCAAAAGTCTATTGAAATACGAGAGCCACCATGACGCCCGATTAAAGGTAGCAGTTTCTAAGATAAGCATAGCTTTAAAAGGCCAGGGGAAAAAAGGAGGCTTCTGATTTCCGGGATGAATTAAGTTTGCCCAAGCCCCAGATCTCTCACTGTGTATCACTGCAAAGTGCAAGGACTAAATTTGGAGCAGCGCTTGGGCATAGGGAGCTGAAATGACAAAGAAAAGGCCAGAGCACCGTGTCCCTGCACTGAAGCAGGCCCAGGTCTCTGCGTGCACCGGCTCTCAGCCTCGGCTCCCACCAGGCCACGGGGACCCTTGCTGAGGGCTGTGGGCACTTGTCCAGTGTGGGGGCTGGGGTCAGGCTGCGTGGGGCAGCAGGGGCCTGCCAGATCACATCGGGTAACTCTGTCCAGCTTATAGGCCAGCCAGTCCCCGAGTGACCAGTGAATGATGGTGGGAAATTAGGACCCCCTCTGTCCACAGGTCACTGAATACTTCCTCCTTCCCTCTGCTAGGTGTTTGGAAAAATTGCCCTGAATGACACCACAGAGATCAACCGGAACAACAACTTTCAGACCTTCCCCCAGGCTGTGCTGCTCCTCTTCAGGTGGGTCTCGAGGACACAGGTGCACACGCACACACCCGCGTGGTGCTGCCTGGTGGCCTGGTGCAGAATGAGGGGGAACTGTCTCCAGGCGGGTGAGAAGGGAGGAGATGCATGTAGCTCTCTTCTCCCGGACTACAGAGCCATTCGTTTCATTGTTGTTTATGATAACTTTCCACGGAGCAGCCCACTGTACACTGACCCTGCTGCTGACCACCCAAAGTCACGTACTAAAAGCATCCCGGTTTGGAATCCGAACAGGCTCAAAGCCAAGCTGGCGACATGCTGACTTTATGACCTTGAGCAAGACGTCTAACTGCTGTGAGCCTCAGTGATCACTCTGCGAGTGTCTGTGCTGTTTGCTCTGTCGGGGGCTGTGTCCACATGCAGTGAGCTTCATCCTCATTTAAGCCGCCGGCCTCATGTGTGACTGGGGAAGAGGGTGTGTCTCATGCCTGCCCCTGAGTGAGCAGGCCCAGCCTGCCTCTCCCTTCTCCTGTGGCTCGTGGTGACCCTCTGGGTCTGCCTCAGACTTCGTCCTTCTCACCTTCCTGCTCATCACAGCCTTGAGCTCTGGGACCCACATCTAGTCCAGGGCTGGTAGATGATAGATGACAGCTACTTATCTTATCCCTTGACCACAGGACTTCTCGAGTCTGTTCCAGCTCATATATTTTACGTACTGTGGTGCTAGAAGAAGCAGCGAGCCCTTTCTTCTTCAGCGAGTCCCTTTCCAGGGGTCCAGGGACTCTCTGTCTGATAGCACCACCTTCACCATGTTCTACAGAACCCTTCCCCCATCCCCAAACCCAAGTATCATCATTTGCTCAAAATATATAGAAATGGCAGGCTCCCTCCCTCAGATAATAAACTATCAGAACCCAGGGCCATTGTAAGCAGCTATTTAACAACACTTAGGCCTGTGCCACATTCGAATATGGGAGTTGGACACAGATATCAGACTGAACACGAAGGTCTATCTTCCCTCCTTTCCTAAAGTCCTTAATGGAAGAAGATACTCTTTAAAAGAATAAATTTGTAGCAGTGCTAGGGGAAAAAGCATGAAAGAATGCTATTGGACAACCACAAATGTCGAGGAATTCCTAGATGGGAGAGAGCAGTTGGGATTTGATTGACAAAGGAACAAGACCTGAGAAAAGCACACGACCACTAAAGAGAATGAGTGAGGACCATGAAGGATGTGAGAGCAGCCCAGGGGCTCTCTGAGCTCAGCATCAATAGATACAAGGCACAGGAGAGGCCTGGGGCCACAGCCAGGCTGGCTTCTCAGAGACTTGCACTTGGAGAGCATTTGTGAATGCTCACAAGCTGAAAGCAGTGGTTGGCATCACACCCCTGGGCTCTTGAGGTCTGAGAGGCAGAGCAGGGCCCCCCAGGGAACCCACCTCAGAGAGAAGCTACCTGCCCAGCCCCCCCGGCAGCACACCTTATCTTTCTCCTGTGATCCCCAGAGAGGCTTCTGTGACAAGAACTTGATCCACCAAGATGTGAACTAGGTTCTCGATCACAAAGAATAATCAACAAGAATCCCAAAGTATTTGGGGAAAACCAACATCAAGAAAGAGTGGCACCACACTCAACTAACAGATGAATGAACACCTGAGGAGGAAAAAGAATATATAGAGCCAAAGGATTTGAAAATAAATATAATTCCTATATTTAGGAGGATTGGAGAAGATAACACATCCGTTAAATTAGAAGGAGGAGAAGGAAGTGGAGCAGCCATTATTAAAAAGAGCAAAGTAAAGCATGAACTTGGGGAAAAATACAATCATTGAAATATTTTTAAAAAGTAGACGGGAAATACAGTAGAATGGACACAGTTGAAGAGTGAACTAATGAGCCAAAAGATCAAGCAGGGGATTCTCTCATAGAGCCAAAAGGACAAAGAAATAGAAAATATGAAATAAAAGTTAAGACTTATAACTAGAAAGATCCCATCTGTGTAATAGAAATTCCAGACAGAAAGAACAGAAGGAATGGAGAGAAGGAAATAAAGACATGATCAAATAAAATTTCAAATAAAGATATGAGCATTCAGATTGAAATGGCCTGCTAAGTGCAGAATATGTTAATCAAAAAGACCCTTAACTAAACACATCGCGATCACTTTTTGGAATACCAAAAATAAAGAAAATATCCTAGAAGTTCCAAAGAGGGGAAAGTCCAGAACAATAAAAAGGAGGGAATACTTTTCAACTTATTTTATGAGGCCAGCATTACCATGATACCAAAGCCAGACAAGGCACTGCAAGAAACAAAAATTACAGACCAGTATCCATGGTGAACATAGAAGCAAAATTCCTCAACAAAATACTAGCAAACCAAATTCAACAGCACATTAAAAGGATTATTCACCATGATCGATTGGAATTTAAACCCAGATGCAAGGATGGTTCAACACACACAAATCCATAAATAGGATGCACCACATTGACAGAATGAAGAATAAAAACC